ATTAATTTGTAGTTGATATGTTTAATTAACTAAGGACCCAAGTAATTTCCCTAAAATGAAATACATCAAATATATGGTTATGATTTTTTTATAAAAAAAAAACATATAAACAATGACATTAGATGTCAAATTATTGCATTTTGACTTTTTGAGAAGAAAAAAAATGCTAAATGGGCCGTGCTTGGGCCGTACTTGGGCTCGTGCCGTGCTTGAAGCGGGCTCGGGCCAAACCCAGCCCAATCCATTGGACCTAGTTTTTGATCCCGCCCCGGCCCAAGTTTTCGTGCCGTGCCGAGCACGGCCCATTAGTATTCGTGCTCGTGCCGTGCCATGCCTCATTTAAACGGGCTGGGCTCGTGCCGTGCTGGGCCGGCCCGTCCCGTTTGACACCTCTACTTTGAAGTGACCAAAACCCAATAAGAAAGTAAAAGGAAAAATGCATAAAATATTTAAGATAAAGAAACCAAGGTCATTTGATGTGAACGGGGACGGCCATAGCTGAAGAAGTAAGGAAAGGCTCAAAACTTTTCACAGCTCAATATCCCAGCTCATTTCACCTAGAGTCTCAAACTGTAAGAATAAACTTCTTTTTCTTTTACTTTCTTTCTGGGTTCTCTGCAATTTAATCTTTCTCAAATATTACTTTGTCAATCGCAATAGATGCAACATACCCATTTATGTTTTATATTTTCCGATAAAGAATTTGTGGACTTGCGAGATAAAGCCTGGTTCAGAGCCACCATTGTCACAAGTCCCACAAACTCAGCCTCAAAGCAGAGGAAAAGGGCCTTGGTGGAGTACAAGAGCTTGGTCACCGAAGACGGCTCGCGGCAGCTCAAAGAGTACGTTAATTCGGCTTACTTGAGGCCTGTACCGCCTCCATTGGGTGACCAAAACTCCAAAACTTTGAGGAGGGTGATGTGGTCGATGCGGATTATAAGATGGATGGTGGACTGGAGTTGTAAGAAAGGTTCTTGACAACAATTCCAAGTACAGAGTGGTGTTTGAAAACTCTCCAGATTTGATTGAATTTGAGAGAGAGCGTTTCAGAGCATCAAGATTGGGATGCTGGCAAATGGGTTCGGCCCAATAAGCAGGTATGCTATCTTGGGCGTGACCTGGTTTTTTTTTTCTTTTCTTTTCATGCGGTTAATTAGTCTCTTAATCATGAGTATTCATTACCGTGAAGTCTGAACATGGTAATTTTTTCTCTGCAAATAGAGCTACAGATGAATCAGATACTGCATTTTGTTACTGAAATGGAAATGCAAAATAATTCAGCAAACACGTTTAACCCTAAATATTCACTCTCAATTACAAATTGAACTGAAATCAGTCAATTGCCTCAATACTAGACAGTCAGTGAGAGAGTTTCAAATTCGACACCTTATTCAGTTTGAACACCAAAAATCATTTTCTCGTCATAGTAATGAACCAGGCGCCTTTTTGTTTCCCATTTTACATGTGAATTGTGCGTTTTCTTTGTGTGTTTCAGTTTGGTGCTTCCATTAACAAAACCCAGAAGTTTTGATTTTCCAGAAATTATTCGAATCCCTGGCTGAAATTAGTGGGTAAAATCTGTTCAGTTTCATTGATGTTTAATTTCCAAGTTATGAAATGTTTACTGATAAAAAAATAAGTCCACATGTGAATGAACAAAAGAAAGAAAAACTGCCAGTAAAAATGGCTGCTGAAGTACTGAAAGTTACTTTAGATGTCGTGTCAATGAAATTGGGCTACAAATTTTGATTGTGAGAGTTTTTGTAACTGTGGGGTAATGTGTTTAACATTTCTAGAACTGTGATGTTGGCTATAATTCTTTACCCCACAACATTCATATATCTGGTCAGTATAGGCAAAATTTTTTATAGGAATACTTGTTGAGGATAAATCTTCATGTTTTTTATATTATAATTTATTTCCCATACTTAGAATTACACTGTGAATGGATGCTTGTAGGTTGTACATGGTAATGGCGGCTGCAGTTACATCCGGTAACTATCCAAAAAGTGTTAAGCTTCCATCTTCCAAGTTTGTCAGGTCCAGAGTTATAGCTTTGGGTCTTTATCCCATGTTTTACAAACCTCCTCATGCTTTTCGCCAGAAACTCAGTTCTAGCAGCTGTTTCTTCTGCATACCTCAGCCTCTACTAGTGAACAATTTCAAGTAAGTTACCATGCGAATTGATACTGTGTTAGGAATGCGTGGTTTGATGTGCTTATAGGAAATGAGTGACTTGTTATTGCAACATGATGACTTTTTAAGAATTAGTTTCAAACCCAGGATTTCCTTTCTTCTCTTTGGCATTTGAATGTCAAAAACTCTTAGATTTGTGAAAGCTAGCTTTATAAAGTAGCGCATAGCACTGAAACATATTAGTATTAGGAAAATCCAAAAAGTAGTTTTAAGGCAATCTTATTGAAATTTTCCCTCTGCCTATAATTTGGGGTCTCCTTTTGAATTGTACAGGAGGATGACATGGTCTATCAGAAGCAGTGTGGATAGCAGAGGGTTGGACCCATCTCCAACAAATGGCACTACTGGCACAACACGTTTAATTAGGGCTATCCAAGCTATTCAAACCAAGTTAGGTAGCAAAATTCGAGAGCTAAGGAGAGGTTTCCCATTTAAAGTACTCTTCTTCTTAGTGGGTTTCTACTGTGCAACTGCTTATGCTACTGTGATTGGGCAAACAGGCGACTGGGACATTCTATCTGCTGCCTTTGCTGTGGTTGTGGTGGAGGGGATTGGAGCCCTCATGTACAAGGCTTCTCTTCCTTTACTAACGAAGACTAGGAGCCTGATAACCATGTTTAATTATTGGAAAGCTGGGCTTTCCTTGGGTCTCTTCTTGGATTCATTTAAATATGAGTTCAATGACATTTTTGGATTCAGTAGCCCCTTCAATTTCGAACTCGATGCATTTTCAATATTCTTATAACACGTGGCTCTTTTGAATGCTGTTTACTGATATGGAGGATTGAGAAATTGTGATTGATAAACATAGGTCATTACCTGACTGCAATAGTGGGCATGGGATTTTCTGTGTACTGTCCATGAAAACCATATTCTTGAACAAATATGGTACTGTACACTATTTCTTCAAGTGTGCTGATTCAATTACGTACTCATTTGGTTTTGCTTTAGTGCCAGTTTGTTTTTTTGGTCGAACACTTTAACATCAGTTGAAGGTAGTTGAAATAATAATCTCTTTTTATTTATCAGATTGTTGCTGCACTGGGAAAGAAGAAGACAGAGGAGGTTGGTGCAACCATGAAGTTTAAGTCAACTGGAAAAAAGATGCTCCTAAAGATGGGAAGAAATGGAAAATTCAGTCTATGCCATGTTGGTGAGCATGGACTAGAAACCCACATAAGCCCAAGAAACGATCTCCCTTGAGTATAATGGCAAAAGGTGCTCCAAAACTTTCACCCTATTCTGATGGTATTGATCTCCCTTTCTCGGATGAAGAACAACAGGAAGAAAATGTACACAAACAAAATTTTAAGCCACTTGATGCGTCCATAACAGACGAGTTAAAAATGCATGAAAAGGACCTTCTTGCTTCCCATGCTGATGAGTAGGCAAAACAGGAGGCCCTTAAAAATGATCATGATGCTTTCACTGTTGTTATTCGAACATGGTCTTTGGTATGTGATGGTGAAGATGGCAATGCTAATGTCAAGGATATGATAACAGAATATTTTTCTGTGTCGGCTCCACGAAAGGAACTTCTAAAGAATGCGTCAGTGAAGATATCACATGGTAAGAGATATGGTTTGGTTGGGGCTAATGGAATGTGCAAGTATACCCTCTTGAAGCTTCTTGCTTGGGGGAAGATTCTAGTACCAAAAAGACATTGATGCGCTTTTGTTTGAAGAGGACATAGTTGGTGATGATGATAGACTGCTCTTGAAGCAGTTGTTTCAACTAATGAAGAACTTTCAAAGCTCCAGAAAGAGGTTGAAACTTTGCAGAATTCAGCTTCTGCTTTCAGCTGTGAAGAAGAGGGCGATCATGATGATGATGCAGGAAATAAGCTTGAGTTGTACGAAAAATGGCAGTTCATGGGGTCATATGCTGCTGAAGCTCAAGGTTAAAAGTTTTTACTGGGTTGGGCTTCACAAAGGATATACAAGGTTTTCCCACTAAGTCATTTAGTGGTGGTGGGGAGGATGAGAATTTCATTAGCTAGGGCAATTTTTGAGCAACAACTCTTTTGTTGCTTGATGAACCCACAATCCCATCTTGACTTTAGGGCTGTTCTCTGGTTGGAGTACTTGTGCCGCTGGAAGAAAAAAAGCATGGGTTGTCTCACATGATGGATTCCCTTAACTCAGTATTCACTAAGATTATTCATCTGCATGATCTGAAACTCCACTTCTACTGTGATCTGGATGAGAAGTAGATTAAAGCTGCCAAAAGGAGAGGAAATCAGGTTCAGCCAAAGTTTGTTGCAGCTAAGGAAAAGAACAAGGCCAATGGCAAGGTTGACGATGATGAAAGCCCCAGTTGAGGCTCCTAAAAAGTGGACGGATAACAGTGTGGAGTTCCTGTTTCCTGAACCTACTATCACTAAGCTTACATCTTCACTCTTTGCAACTTGTTGAAGTCAGCTTCAGCTATCCAAATTGGGAAGATTTCAAGCTGTAAAATGTTAACGTCGGTGTTGATGTGAGGTCTCAGTAGTGCCATTGCTGGACCTAACAGCGGGGAAGTCTGGGAAAAGTGTGGTTATAATCAGTACAACGCATTCCCCGTTCCTAGTCCAGCGATGCACAATGAAGTTTCCTAAAAAGGTCTCGTCAGGTTGGCACAAAAGTTTCTAATTTAAAATGAAATAAGGTACCCTGATCCCTGAAGTGTTCAAATCTAAGGCCCGAAAATGGCATCATACTGCAGGAAGGGTACTTGACATCTAAGCATTTAAAATATGAAATATACCAGCAAGCAATTGTATTGTGTCATACTGGTAAAGTTTTCAAGGTTATAAAAGGGATATGACTGCATGTCATGCGCAATGAACATACATTACATGTGGTTGAGAAATATTGGTTGGCATTGCTGTCACAAAAACCCATTTATACTTATAATCATTTTGTGGTTGAGAACTCAGAGAGATAGAGAGGCTGTGAAGTGAAGTGAGAAAAACTTGAAAATGATCAAAGCAAAGAGAAAATTAACAGGAAAAAATGGCTCAAATTGAACCAAAATATCCCAATCGTGTGTTTCAGTTTGCTTTATAATCAAAACTGATCAAGAGGAGTTGGAGTCGAGGAGCTTGAATTACAATTGTACATAAACTGATCACAATTACAGAATGAATTGAATAAAAAATGTGCTAGCTCTCCTCTCCTAAAAAACCATGTACTTATAATCGTTTTGTGGTTCAAAAACCATGTACTTACATCTGATATCAATTAAAGAATAAACTAGACAATAAGAAACGTGTTCTCCAAGAAATCAGAAGGCTTGGCATTTCCTGGAGCTGATCAGAAACTTGTTCTTTGTCAAAACCCGACCTCGTCCCGGCTTAGACGGCAAAGGCAAGTTCTTGATGTCGATAACTTGAATTTTCTTTCGCTTGTTTTGGAACTCTTGATAGCCTTGGTGAAGCTTTCGAACACTAGTCTCCAACTTCTCTTCATCATCCCAATCTTGCCGATGATGAAGATCGTGATCAGTGGATTTTGTGAGCCCCTTAGGGTTTTGTTGGCTCTCCGAAAAATCAGAAGGCTCTGGGCACTTCCTCGAACTGGTCAAAGGCTTGTTCTCGCTCAAAACCCTGCCTCGCTGAGGCTTAGACGGCAAAGGCAAGTTCTTGACGTCAAGAAGTTGAATTCTCTTTCTCTTGTTTGGAACTCTTGATAGCCTTGGTGAAGCTTTCGAACACTAGTCTCCAACTTCTCTTCATCATCCCAATCTTGCCGATGATGAAGATCGTGATCAGTGGATTTTGTGAGCCCCTTAGGGTTTTGTTGGCTCTCCGAAAAATCAGAAGGCTCTGGGCACTTCCTCGAACTGGTCAAAGGCTTGTTCTCGCTCAAAACCCTGCCTCGCTGAGGCTTAGACGGCAAAGGCAAGTTCTTGACGTCAAGAAGTTGAATTCTCTTTCTCTTGTTTGGAACTCTTGATAGCCTTGGTGAAGCTTTCGCTTGCTATTGTCCAACTTCTCTTCATCATCCCAGTCTTGCCGTTGATGGTGAGCATCAGATTTTGTTGGCCCTGTAGGGTTTTGTTGACAAGAAGATGGAGGTGGTGTGCATAGCACCAAGCGGAGGGTCTCCAAACTCTTGCCTTTGCCGTGGGATGGTGGTTTCTTGGGCTTCTCTTGAATTGCCATGTCGTGGTCATCAAGTTTGACGTCGTGGAACAAGTTGGAAGGATCGAAAGTCGTGGTTTCACTTTCAAGGATGAAGACAGCTTCAAGGTCGTCGAGAGGGCAAGCGAGTCCAGCAAAGTCGTCATCGTCAACGTGAACGTCAACAGGAGGCTCTCGCTGTTCCTTGAAAGCCTTCATCTTGTCTGAAAGAGAAAGTAGCTGGCTAGTGAAGTGAAGGGTCTCGATCGTTTGAAAGAGAAAAGATTATAGGGAATTATGGAAACCCTAAATCACAGTAGCTAGTGTCTACAAAAGGCTCAGGCTACATATGTATTTATAGTTTTCTGTTTCCTAATCTCATTGGGAAAACCAATATTTTATTCTTATTAATTATAATGTACTTTTAAATTTTTATTAGACATGATAAATTAAACCAACCGAACAAATCCTTTCAGTTGCCACCGTCAAAAATTCCCCAAACACAAATGCTGTTTGTGTTGTGTGCTTCCATTTGCTTTATAACTACAATTATTTTTCTTTTTGTTGGAGAAGTCCCTTACCCCAAACAAAATACAATTATTTTCCTCTTATCAAGTGTTTTCTTTTTAGTCAAGCCAACCCAAATGAAAAATCAATGCTCGTCTAATTTCACTTGAGTGTTACTACTAAACCAAGTATTACTATTTCTAATAATTACATGTCCTACTAGAGAGTTCACAATAGAAAGAAATAATATATAAATATATCTATATAATCAGGAGAGGCTCTAAGCACAAGCAAGCAAAGGCGGCCGCCTAGAGCCTCCAAACTTAGTTTTTATATATACATAGCATGATACTATATATAAAATTAAAAAAATTTAAAATAAAAATTATACGTAAAAATTATGTTAAGCCCAATTATTCAATCCAAAATTAAGAAGAGCCTAGCTTGAAAAAAGCCCACTTATTCATTAAATTCATAGTCTAAGCCAATTAACTTAGTTGAATAAAATTAAGAAATTAAACACATTGAGCCCCATCTAACATGTTTAAACTCTGAAAAATAAACTTCTTAACGACAAACATATTTTCGCTTTACCATTTCTTTCTCAATGATATAATGAAGGCTGAAGTCCGAACTATTAAATATGTGCGCTGATTGAATTTCATGCTCTCTTTTTTTTCTTCTTCTTTTTTGTGGGAAATTAGTCTAGAATTTACTTCGTCATTGTTGGACCTAATATTAGCTCCATCCACCAAAACAAGCAGGGATAAAACTGATATTGGAAACTGGTAAATTGCCGGAAAAGCTGTCACCAAAGGCAAAAGTATATTTGTAAAAGCAACTTGGATAAAAAGCTCATCAAACGTTTACAAAAGCGAGCTGTTTAAGGAGTGAGAACTTTCATTTGCTTCAAGATTGTTTTTGGTTTGGTGAGGCCCCTGAGCTTGTTCAGGATCCCCTCATTCAAGATTGTATCCCCACTTCTATGCAATTGATCGTCTTTTCTCAACCAAAAAAAAAGGAGTGAAAAGAAATATAATTGAATCTCATGTAATAAAAACCATATGGCTAAAACCATTGAATGTAACTTCTCAAAGATTTACAATGCTCAGCAGTTTTTTTTAACGAATACGAGGTACATAAGTACTTGTCTACCAAACTAAAAACTAATTGGCAGGCAACTTCTAGTATATACATCCATGAAAATTAAGGGGATTTTGGTATAAGCCTTAAAAGGATATCTAAGAGTAATTAAAACCCTGCGATTACGCATCAACATCAGGGCCAGGATATGCTGGTAGGCTCATAATCCGCTTGTCAATGACTGGACCTCCCACCGTGAAGTGATATAAACTTTGGAAGTTTGATCCTTTCAACCCAAGCAGTTCATGCACTGCAACACAACAATACCATAAATTTTAATAAAACATATATGGCATATGCAAAGATGCCTTTAAAATCATTCTTGCTTCACTTTTATAACTTGCAACAAGCGCGCATGTTGGAATGATCTACTCTATTGTATCATCTTTAAAATTGTTTTCAGAATCCTTTACAAGTTACAAGTACGTACAGCACATAACCTAAGTAATTGAAAATACTATTTTAGGCCATCTCTATGATAGCTATGACATATAAAAAGCTGAATGATTCGGCTACATACATAATCAGATATAATTACAAATGTAGTTAACAGCCTGAGCCTTCAAGGGAAACTAAACTCGGTTTTTTTGAACAGACTGCCAACCCATATATACGTGAGTGTGACTGGCCAACCTGTTCCCCACAGTGTTCAGGTTTCACATATTTTGCATTATTTATTTTTAACAACTCTACCTTCAAAGTGTTGTGAAATGTATCCATTCTACATGCTTAGGATTGTTGAAGAAATAATTGGGAGGTGCTCTTAATCAGGCAGAGGCTGATGATTAGAGGAGTGGGTCAAGCTAGAGTGAATAGCAAAAAATTAGGTGACTTTGTCAGCATGTACTCATGAGAGTCAGTTCTTGGAAATAATTGGGAGCATCTTATCTTGAAGATGGAGTATTATGGGGCCCAATGTGACTGACATAGTTTACCACATTTCAAGATCAAATCAGCAGTAACTTATCTGAATTTTATAGAACTCAAAGATGTTTATGGTGATAATTCAATGCATACTCTTTATTCATAGACATTATCAGTCTCAGACGGGGTGAACTGAATAAATTTCACCTATTCTCTCGTCCAATCTAATTTCTTGATTATTTCAATCTTTTTGGCTAAATGTGTCTTGACTTTTTTGAAACGATGCGTAATACAAAAAGCCTTATTCTGAAATAGCCAAGGCATACAGCTTAATGTGCAAAAGCATAGGCCTCGATGGAGTGGGCTTTGCCATATATAAATACAGATATGGTCATATATATTACAATATATTTTGGTTAACAGCCTTCAACTGAGGCCAGTCATGCTTCAGTATATTAGGACCCCATTTAGCTGATGACTCTGATTTAACAAGTTATGATACATAGTGATCTTTTAATTATGACCTTAGACATTGAATTCTATTCAACATTCTTAAGGACTTGTTTATAGCACAAACTACCACAATTAATGTGGAAGAGTGCACTAACAGTTTTGTAATCCACATAATTCAGTCCATATGTCTAATGTACCATGTAATGTGATATTTCTTTTGGATTGGGAATCATTACAAAAAGAAGGTGAGGGAAGAGATCTTACCAGGATCATCAAAATAGCAACCAATTCCTGTTGCAGAAATGCCAACTGCATGCGCTTCAAGGTACAACACCTGCCCGAGTACTCCAGTCTCCCAAAACAGTCGAGGATACATCCACACATTTTTATCATGCAATAAAGGGTCAAAACAAGCCACCATACCAAGACTGAAGCAACCATGACTTGCAATTTCCTGCATGTAGATGTATTCTTTTAGGAAGAGTTGGGATATCTTATACACACACCTAAAGTGCCTAATTGGGGATTTGGGTAAAGGGGTTTTTCATTTGAGGTCAAGATATATTAGAAGCCAGAGGAACAACTCAGACTTTGAGAATTACATTCCGACATATTTGTATGACACTTATTTGTAACGTGTGACTTGCAGATTTTATTGCAAAAATAACACATTTTGGCATAATGTATGAAATAAGTTTGAAAATATTGTACAGTACCTTCAAATGCAGCAAAAGATAAATAAACATTCTTCCCCTAATATGCTAAAATAAAAGAATGAGCTTTTTTTTTTCTTCCTCCATCTGCAATATTCTATCAAAGTCTAAATGTTCACAATCATATGCATTGTTCAGCATCTACCTCACAATCGCTTTCATATGCCATCCAGTTTTAAGCAATTCCACTTATATATGAAAATTAATAAAATTACCATTTACATTTTGACATACCTGATGGCACGAGAGCCTTTCAGCAAGAGTACGACAGTCAGTTCTATCAAGTTCATACAGAGGAAGATTTTCTGGGCAACCCTCTGGCTTCACCCACTTAAAGCCTGACCTCATGGATTTCTTGAGCTTATCCAAATGGTCTTCATTCCTAACCAAGAAATATAAACCCTGTGGCAACCCTTCCACCCTATGAACAAATAAAGCAGCATGGACCTCAGCATCCCATGGAAGACCCCGAAATGGCAATGCCAATGGCTTCTTCTGCTTCCCTCCATGTCGAGAACCCGAAGGAAGACAATGCAAAAGAATCTGATAAAATGTGTTTCTATCCATTGCAGTAACTCCATCCATATCAACTGCACTCCTACGCTTCCTGACAACTTCCCTAGCTGTAAAACCCTTATATGAACCTTCACTACAAATCCCACTACTCTGAAATGGATCAACCAAAAACGTATCACCTAAACTTATCTCTTTTTTCACAGCCTCTGCTGTTCTATATATTATATCCCAACAAATGTGCTCTTTACTAAGCAAATTTGGCTTTCCCTTCCACTCCAATTTGGAAAACTCAGATATTGCCAAACTCAATTGCTTATAGTTCACATCAAATTCACCAGCCCCATCAGGAAAAACCACAAGAATACAATCCGGATGCTCAAATTCCATCTCGGGAAACCGCCCTTTAACAGGTCGAGAGGGAATTTGAAATTTTGGGAACCCTTCAAGCCCCATTAGCTTCTCCAAATCCTCATAACCCAATCCATCAAGCAGCTTCACATCCCAACCAAGCCCTGCTGCGGCCATGGAAACCGCAGCAATAGCGTGACCCACATCGTGATTGCAATACCGAAATGCGCGCTCTCCATATTTCCAGGCCTCGCGCCAAAAAATCGATGACAACCCAATGAGAAACGAGTCCTTGGGTAAGAAATTGGTGAAAACCCAAGATGGGATTTCAGCTCTAAGCTCCAAAGCATGCTCTTTTGGAGCGTAATGCGCTACGAAACTCGAATCAGACAACGATTCTATTGGGGGTGAAATGATATAGGCCTCAGTAGGGTGTAAATTACCACTGCTGGGATTAACTCTAAGCGACCAGGTTGAAAACCCAGCAGTTTTCCAAGCTGAGAGAGCTAAAGAATCGTAGAAAAACTGAGAAATGGTGGATTTGGAGATGGGTTTTGGAGGAGGGAGATTCAGGAACAGAGAAGAATACAGAGGGTCTTGAGTAGAAGAAGAGTTTGGGTTTTGATTCTCCGTAGGGAAGTGCAGGAGAGGTAAGAGAGGAGCAGAGACGTACCTGCGGAATGGGTTGGGCTGGTTGGCCCAGTCGAGGCCATGAGGGCCTCTGGCGTATTTGGTGAAATGATGCTTGGTCTGGTTGTGGTACTTGAGGGCCTGCTGCAAAAGGAGCTCCTGGTCTTCTGGGTCTCGTGGGTGTTCTGGCTCTTTAGGGTTGGAAATTGAAGAGGGTGAAGAGGATGATGGAGAAGAGGAGGAGAAGGACATGGTGGGGATTAAAAATTTGTTCTTGTTGGTGGTGGTGGTGATGATGAGGTTTGGGAAGAGAGAGGTGGATGGAAGAAGGTAGAAGAGTGGAGAGTTTAGAGGGAAAGAGAGCCTTGTTGAAGGAAGTGGTGGCATCTTTGACAGTTTTGATTTCTTCTTTTTTTCCTATAGAAAAATTGTCCTAATTCTTCTTCTAGGACCCTCCCTCCTCTTACTTTGGAAAGTGGATGGCCATAATTTTCTTGCTTTTTGTTGTTTTGTCTATATATTTTTTTTTCTGTTTTGGCATATTTTCAAAATAAAAACAAACACACACAGACACCTGGTCTCACTTTTCTGCTACATACATGCATAGGTATGCATTATATACAGTCTCATATTCTCATACCTTCTTATTTTCTATTTAATTTTTTTCCTTTTTCTTTGGGTACAATATTTATTTTTTCTTTGAGGACTTTTTAGGATTTTTAATCCATCTTGATGAGAAATTATTGAGTGGTACGATGACGTGATGATACGACCAATAAATTTCTGTCACGTAATCAATCATTAACTAGCATTACTTATAAACTTAATTACAGTTGACATGGTAGTACGTACTAACATGTCAATCATGTTACAGTAGCATTGTATAATCTCATTCCGATGCAAAGGGGACAAGCCGAGAAGAAGATGGAAATATTTTTGCTCACCACATCATCACAACCTTTCTTAACACTTGACACGTGTCCAGGGGCCCATAGTTAACTCTTTGCTTTGTATTTATAGAACCATTGTTAGGCTCATGGACACGTGTCAAGTGTTGAGTAGGATGATGATGGTACACCTTGAGTTAAAGTGGTAAGCAAAAATGCTCTAGAAGAAGATGGAAGTATAATCTAAACTAATTGGTAATTGTTTCCGTAATTCTATTATTTTAGGGAATATAATCGCTTTTATAAAAAGTAAAGGAATTGTATTCGTAATTTTCAATTGCCTATATAAAAAAGCATTCGAGGTCAATTTCACACTACATACATACGCTACTCAAAAAACCTATAAATTCATCTTGACTTTGTTCGGGTTTTGAATCATGTATGTTTTTTCATATAAACAATTGTGTTTGCATATTAAATTTTCTTTAGTAATTATAAACGAATGAATGAATGTTAGATTAATAAGACACTACGTGAGATGAGGATATATCATCGAGGCCAAGGTCGGTTTCCAAAAAAATGTCAGTGAATGCACTTGCCTCCACTTCTATACCTATGAAGGTTTCAAGTTGCTATGAAATTTTGTGTTGAATTAGGACAAGTTGTTTGATAAAATGACTCAAAGAAGGCTAAGACGGGACAAGAAGGCAAAGGAATTGGCTTATGCAGTTGGGCTTGGACGGTTGGTTTTTTAAGAAACAATGGTGTTATTTTGGGCCTGTTACTAAAAAATAAAAAATAAAGAAAAGACTCCCAACTCTTTTTTAATGGGAAAAATACTTCATGATAAACAACTGCTCTACTCATGTTTTTCTTCTTGTTCTGTCCACTCACTATTCCCATTCTCTCTTTATGCCTTGCAGTTGAGAAATTAGGAAGAAAGTGTAAATTTTGTGTTTCATACAATTTGTGTATGAATATGTTTATATATATCTTCATTATAATTCACTTGATGGTAGTGTTTTCTTGCTCTGAAAAAGGAAAGTTTATGAGTCCAAACCTCCACAACACCACCACCATGAGACACAAATCCACATAGATGTTGGTATGCTCTTCACGACATAGATGTTCATCCTTGTCATGTTTTGTGAAATAAACTTTCTAGCAAGAATTGCACATAAACTGCCTGTCATAACCTCTCTTTTTGGTCTGCTCTCACTACGAGACACAAATTCATCATTTTTATGAAATTCCCAAATACAAAGGTAGTAGTGATATAGTTTGGAGTATGTGTGTTTTAATTCCACGTTTTCTTCATTAAATTAAGGCATACATACTTCGAACTAAGGGCCTTCTCTGTTACGAAGTTCTAAGATGTGGAGCAGTTATGAACTTTTGTTTTTAACCGTTGGATGGCTTCTATGGTTTAGATTTAAACCAAAGTTTAATAACTCATTTTTCTCTCTCTTCCCTTTCATTTTTCCTCTTTTTCTTCTTCTTCCGCGAGTTCGCTCAACTCTCTCTTTTTTTTGTTTTCTTTTCCTTTGTAAGATATTTTCTTCATTTTCCCTCCTGGTTCCTTTTTCTCTCTGTCTTATTTTCTTTCTTTTCGCTCTTCTTCCTTTTCTCTCTTGTACCAGATGAACAAATTAGTCCACCCCTATTCCAAAAATTAGCCAAAATTCTCAACATGAGCAATTACTAATTTCAGTAAGAACACCCATGTAAAACAATCGATACAAGCAGAAACAAGTAGCCAAAACCAAAAAGAAAAAGATTGTATGAGTTTTTTTTGGTTTTCTTTTAGTTTGAATGTGTTTAGACCGTATGGTATGGTACGAAATATATTGGCTGTTGTCCTCTATTGATCATCACAGTTGCCGAAGGGAATGCTAAATGAAAACTTGAATAAAAACTGTTTCATTATTTTTTCACAAAGCATTCAAATAACAATAAATTATTTATAAAAAAACATGCAAAAAATAAAGAAATGCTGGCGATATTTAAAAAATTAATGAAAAAATAACAAAGGAAAGAGCTTTGCTTCGAGTTTGGTAGAAGCAAACTAATTTTTCTATTATTATTTCAGCAGCCTAATTTTTCCTAAAATAAACTCTAGTCCTAAAGCTTGTCCTAAATTCCGCCCGGAGTCAGAAAATGAGAGTTTATGTCTTTCTAAGATAAATTTTTTTAGTTTGATGTGCGAATGGAATTCACTTGACAAATGACAAACAAATAATGTACGAGAAACAGTAAAGTAATTGGGGAAGGTAATTAGCATTTCTCTTATCATTGGATTAATAAAATCGAACCGAACTTAAGGGCTGATCTGGCCTACATAGAAGGGGTAGGCTGGCCCTTTCGCATTGGTAGTGGGCTTAAAGAAGCAGAGAACCTGATGGACCAAAGTTAGAACTTGGCCCACAATATATAAAAGGCGCACTGTTGTTTTGTTGAAGTGCGTGATGCACCGGTACCGCGCATTTTAACAGGATGTTCGGTACACGTCAGAAAAATACGCCTCGAAGTGCGTGACGTCAGTTTCCACTTTTTTGGGCTTTGTTTGTTTGTTTGGGATTTATTGACATGTGACTCGGCAAATCACCATGGTTTTTTTGTGCATGTCATCACATCAATCTCAATCATCATTCTATCTCTCTCTCCTCATATTTTTCACGTTTTTGCCGGCAATTTAACATCTATTATTGTTTTTTATTTGCATATAATTCAAGATAAGATATAATAGGATTTGATCTCATCTTCAATCATTGGATCGAATTCTCTTATCTTTATCTCACCCCTTTGATTCTCATATTAGATATCATTGATTTTCTATAAATATCAAACCTATGTCTATCTTTACGAGACACTCTTTACTTTTTTCCCACTGTTTGTATTTGTCACCTTGTTTTTTTGTACACATAGTCACTGATCAATCTCAATCATCATTCTATCTTTCTCTCTTCTCATATTTTTCACGTTTTTGATGATAAAATTTGATTTCATCTTCAACCGTTGGATCGAACTCTCTTATCTTCATCTCACCCATTTGATTCTCATATCAGATATAATTAATTTCCTATAAATATCAAACCTATCTCTACCTTCACATGACACTCTTACTGTTTTGCCACTGATTGTATTTCAGGTAATTGGCAGCTCAAGTCACTGGTGTTGTTGTTTCCGTTTCTTTTTCTCTTTTCCTGTTGATTTTCTCTCTGCTTTGATCATTTTCAAGTTTTTCTCAGTAAACCCACTCACTTCTTCTCAGCCTCTCTATCTCTCCGTCTCTGCTACATGTTATCACCTTCAATTCTCGCTCGAGGTACAGAGACCACTCTGATTTCTCAACCACTAAACGATTATACGTACATGGTTTTTGCGACTTAGAGAAATCAAGTGTTTTCTTTTCTTCTTCTGTAGTTTCAGCAATGTCAATAATTGGGCGCAGAGGAATTCATTTCTTGCGTAAACTCAGTGCTGAAAATGTTCCCAGTGATTTGATAGAGAAGGGTCAAAGCCGAGTTATAGATGCTTCTCTCACTCTCATTCGTGAGAGCGCAAAGCTCAGGGTACCTATTTTCCTTGTTCGGTAGTGTTTAATTTTCGATTTATGTGGATTTTTGGACTTGGAATTGGTTTTGGTGAAATGGGTTCTTTTTGTTGCTGTGTAGGGAGAGCTTGTGCGTGCTTTAGGAGGCGCTGTAGCATCCACTTCTCTTTTGGGTGTTCCTCTTGGACATAACTCGTCGTTTCTTCAAGGGCCTGCTTTTGCTCCTCCTCGGATTAGAGAGGCAATCTGGTGTGGTAGTACCAACTCAACAACTGAAGAAGGTATGTAATCATCTAAAAACTATTAAATCTTTCTTTGGTTCTCAACAAACATTCTATTTTTTTTATTTGATCAAGATAAGTCGGTTTTTTTTATTATTTAAAATTATCCCACAACCCAACAAGTGTTGTCACTTGAAATATAACATTGGTGGTCAATTCAGTTCCTCATCTTCTCAATCGTTTCATTAGCAGTTTATGTTATTAGTGAAACCAAACCAGTCTCAGAATTATGATCTATACATGTGTGTGCTTAGGTTGTTTAATAGGTACGTTTTATATTCATGAAAGATCTGCAATTTAGCGAATTGCTTGTTGTTGATGACTTCTTCTTTCATTTTTTCAAAATTTCATGTCATGGTGCATGAATTGATGTCACTGAAACATGATGCTGGCAATGCAGGGAAAGAACTAAGAGACCCACGGGTGCTAACTGATGTTGGTGATATTCCTATCCAAGAAATTCGAGATTGTGGAGTCGAAGATGAAAGACTGATGAATGTCATAAGTGAGTCTGTCAAGCTAGTGATGGAACAGGTAGCTTGAAATTTATAGAAGCTTCCAACTTAAAACTAATACAATGATTTATTTTAGGGGGAAAAAATGCAATTTTAGAAGATTTCAGTGGAAAAACTAATTCTGTTGTTCTGTTTCCAAAACTGCCCTTGATCTGTTGGTAGAATAACTTGGGGCACTGTTAAATGACTTGGTACACTTAAAGTCATGCCCAGTTCACTGAAAACTGGAGGAAGTTCTCCTTTTTAATCACTTATCTGCTGCAGGCTTATGATTATATCTCACCAGTTATGCACTTCTCTGTTTTGGTAGAGATAAAATGCTCAGCTAGCTTGATAACTCTGAGACCAGCTTTTGCCATTTGATTATGTTATTTTCTAAAAGTTGAATTTTTTTACCTCAATTCACCAATTGTTGATAGATCCATATTGTTTTTCCTTGTTTATGTATTGTTAGTGGGACTTGATGTGTTTCAAAAGCTTTAGTTTATTACGCTGAAATGAGTTTGAGCAGCAATTAGTTGAACTACAATATGTTCTATTCATTTGCGTATGACATGGTCATATTCCTTTCATAACCTTGAATTTTTTATCAGCATGACACAATTGCTTGTAATATTCTTATACTTTGAAACTCAGCTTTTTTAGAAGTATACTTTGAAGCTGAGCTGGTACAATTCCTATTTTAAATTCTTAGATGTCGAGAAACCGGCCTGCAGTATGTACTATGATGCCATTTTCAGGCCTCAGATCCTATATTTCGTTTTCAATTAAAGACTTTGCTAGTTTAGTACAAACTGTTAAGACCTTTTCAGAAAATTTGATCATGACTGCACTGGGAATGGGAATCCTCTGCACTGATTAACAGTATTTATAACTACACTTCTTCAGAAATATAAAATTCTTCTCAACAAGATTCTAAATTTGAACCGTTCCTGAAATAATCATTAGTTCATTGGAATACTCTTGGGTCAGTGTCGTTTTTTACCGAGAATTGTCATTTTTGTAAAATGTTAAATTCAGCATCTGCATTTGGCCAATTTCTCAAAATACTTGTATCATATGGTTACTTTTCAAAAGACAGGAAAGTACTTCATTCGTTGAATTGTCGAAGTTGTCAAACTAAAACCTCAGAGTTACCTTTCTTTACTGATGTTTTCAACTTCTATGAAAGGGGAAACCAGTTAGGAGTTACCGCTTTGTTGGAGATCCTCCTGCCAATTTGTGGGAATAATGTTTTGCTAAGTGTCTAAGTTGTATAGGGGGTGTGAAAAATGGTGGAAAGGACCCTTAGTCGTTGCATTTATGGCAAAGGATTCCTCATAGTACCTCTGTTACCTTCATATGTGAGCCTTTACCTGCAGTCCCAACTTTTTGTGTGCATGAATTTTTGAAACAGGGCAAAACATTCCATATTGAAATTCATGTGGGCACACTTAATATCATTTTGAAGTTCAAACTCAGAGCGGTATACTGTACTGTGATGCATTACTTTGAAGATGTCAAAGAAAATGAAAAGTTAGTTGCCATCAGTAGGCAGCACAAATGTTCTGATGTCTTCAGTTATTTTGAATCTTCCATAAACCTAGCAGATATTTGGTTGAACTTCATTCTGGAAAATTATCCGGGATATGTTCTTTGTGCAATTTGTTTCCTGGAAAGCTTCACAGATACTGAGAGTAAATGTTGTCCTTAGTTGGTTGAGACTTTTCATTCCAATGAATATATGTATACACCGGCTACCTTTTGGTTCTTTTTGGAAGCACCTAATCATTGCGTCCATGCCCTTTCAGGATCCACTCATTCAAAGATTATAATCTTTGGTGCACAAGGAAGAGTGGCTCATGGACAATATTCAAATGAACGTAGCCCCTTCTTAATGGATAACAATTGTATATACCAAAGAAGATTTTATAAGCATTTGGTATTTCTAATCTTGGCATCAAGTATGTAAAACCTTATGCAAAATGCAAATAATGGATTAATCACCCTATGTGACTTTCAAATGTACTTATTGCATCTCTGATTAAGTATAAACTTCCACTTGAGCTTTGTCGTTAGTAAAAGTAGCATTTTTAATGTTGTCCTCTGCATAAAATATAGATGAAATCTTAGTTAATACGAATGTGCTGTCACTTACTGTAACAAGTTTCATTCGACATGTCTTTGTCATACTATGACCTATGCTACTTCTTTTTCTTCTCCTTTATATCTATTCATCATTAAACCTAATGTAGTTCTCATATGCTCTTGTCCTCTAATTAAGTTGACTGTCCTGTTTTAGTTGTTGTCCAGCATTTCAGTCAACCTGATGAAGTTTGTTGCTGAACTTTCAGGTTGGTATTAGATCAATCAACATAGAAGGGCGTGAACAAGGAAAACGATTTGGTGTTGAGCAATATGAAATGCGAACCTTTTCAAGAGACCGTCACTTTTTGGAAAACCTGGTCTTTCTCTCTCTCTCTCTTCTTCTCTCTGTTTCTCTCCTTCCCTCTGCCCCTGCCCCATGTGTATCTTTCTTTTTATGTGTCTGCATGTACTTATGAGAGTATTGAGAATAACGGTTAAGAAATTTTTCTTTCGCAGAAATTAGGGGAAGGTGTGAAGGGTGTGTACATCTCAATAGACGTAGATTGCCTTGATCCTGCATTTGCTCCTGGAGTGTCACACATTGAGCCAGGGGGTCTCTCCTTCCGTGATGTTCTCAACATACTCCACAGCCTTCAAGGCGACCTTGTTGCTGCAGATGTCGTTGAACTCAATCCCCAGCGTGACACTGTTGATGGGATGACTGCAATGGTAGCTGCTAAGCTGGTGAGAGAGTTGGCTGCAAAGATGTCAAAATGATAAAATTATCAGGTGCCTTCCTTTGGTATACCTGGAGACTAGACCTTCCAGCATGTAATTTCTTGTTAATTACTATGAATTTAATGAATAAGTGGGCCTTTTTCAAGGTGAACTATTCTTAATTTTGGATTGAATAATTAGGCCTAACATAATTTTTATGTATATATATTTTTTTGCTTGGTTGTGCTCAAAGCCGACCCTGATTATTTTTATATATTTTTTCTTTCTACTGTGAACTCTCTGGTAAGATAATATTTTCCTATATATATGAAAATGAATTTTCATAGGACATGTTATTATTAAAAATAGTAATACTTGGTTTAGTAGTAAGACTCAAGTGAAATTACACGAGAAATTTTCATTTGGGTTGGCTCGACAAAAAAGAATTGTAAAACTTGATAAAGAGGAAAAGAATTGTATTTTGTTTGGGGTAATACAAGAGAGAGTTTCTAAATAACTCCAACTTTTCCACACACACCAAAAAAACAACAAAAAAACGCGACCAGGCTTTCAAGCAACGGCGATGCGAGCGAGAGCCTATTGTTGACGACTTTGGTGGCCTCGCTTGCCCTCCGCTGGATGACCTTGAAGCTGTCTTCATCCTTGAAACCACGATTGATCCCTCCAAGTTCTTCGACGACGTCAAACTTGATGAGCACGACTTGGCAATTCTCGAGAAGCCCAAGAAACCATCCCACGGCAGCAAAGGCAAGGATTTAGAGACCATCCGCTTGATGCTAAATGCACCGCCTTCATCTTCTTGCCAACAAAACCCTAAGGGTCGCACAAAATCTAATCATCATCATTAGCAAGATGGGGATGATGAAGACAAGTTGGAGTGTAGTAAGCGAAAGCTTCAACAAGGCTATCAAGATTATCAAAACGAGGTCGGGTTTTGAACAAGAACAAGGTTCGAGGAAGTGCCGAGCCTTCTAAATGTTTTTTTTTATTGTCTAGTTTATTCAATTCATTCATTAATTGTGATCAAATGTAACACGAGAACTATTATCCAAATTTTCAAATGGCATAAATGTATACCCTAATCAATTTGTGGTATTCAAATCAATTCAACTAGTTTTTGCCTTTAATCATCATCATGGCTTCCCATTTTGGGGCATATTATCTAAATTGTTTTGATGCCCATATTAATGCATACACTAATCACCAAGCCACATTGGACATAATTATGCTTCCTCACAAATCATAAATTTAGTAAGTAAGGCCAAGCCTCCTCTTAAAATTCCCTTTTCCATGATGATCATGTGTATTATCTCAAATGGAATCCACGTGTGGGTTCACCCCCACTTATTCCTCATATACATGGTCAATTGAGCCCAGAACTTTGATGTGCTCCTAAGTGTTCGTGAGTTCAAACCCCTATGGTACTGTGTATGTGAGTTTTCCCCCTTTCCCCTGCCTAACTTTGACCAAAAAAATAGATTGAGTTAAAAGTAGGATAAAGCGACGGGTTATGAGTGTGAAAGCCATGGTTTTACTACTAAAATTTGATTGCATATAAAATAATGGGTATTAAGCTACTAACAATATCTAAAGTTGAATTAATTTAATGATGCTTATCAAAGAGTTAGTTTTAGGTCGCTACTCATTAGTTGATATTATAAAATACAAGTAGTAACACTCAAGTGAAATAAGACGTGCATTGTCAATAAAGGTTGGTTCAATTAGTAAGGTCCCTGCACTGTATGTAGCCCCACCAGTGTTTGAGTCTCGCTGCCAGCAGTCTTCGTTGGTGCGCGATTAGTAATTTCCTATATAAATGCATATAGATAGTAGCTGGCAGTTGGGTGCCACGCATAACTCTTTCCAACTCAAGATTGTGAGTCTACTATGGCGCTGGTGGTGAGAGTAACCAATCTCCCTTAAATTTTATTTATAAAAAAAAAAAAAAAAAAAAACCAGTGCATTGATTTTGCAAAAAAAAAGACGCACATTGATTTTTCATGTGGTTGGCTTGACAAAAAAGAAACCTGGCACAACAAAAAACAATGAAAAAGAACAATATGGAAAAGAGGAAAATAATTTCATTCTAATTTTTTTGGCATGGAAATAAATTAATTCGAGTTCTGAGGCTCCAACTTCTCTTATTATTATGGGTATAATAGTGATTTGCCTCCTGAACTTATACCTAACTTTCGATTGACTCTATATCCTTTTTTTTTTAGAAAATTAAGGATATGAACTTTTTTTTTTCCAATTTCCTCCCTACTGTCTAAATTCTCAACATTTCTTCCAATTTTCAGTTAAATAATTTAAAAAATTTATTTTTATGAAAAAAATTAAAGAAAAAGAGTAAACCTAAAGCCAACCCCTTCCATCTCCTCCCTTCCTCCTCCCATTCCCCCATGACCACCATCCTTTACTCCCAAACCAAAACCTCACCCCCACACCCTTCAACCCACAAAACCCCTCCCTCCTCCTCTCCCTTTCTGTTCTTTCACCAATAGACTCATCACCACCATCCCCCAACAGACCTCTTCTCTCTCTCTCTCTCTCTCTCTCTCTCTCTCTCTCTCAGTGCCTTCCAACCTCCCATCTAAAGCCTTTTCCAAATTCACACAAAACCCATCAACCAAAACATCAAAAAATTCAATCTTAAACACTTGGATTTGCCAAAAAGATCAAAATCTAATAAAATCTAATAGAATTTACCTCCATGCCATCGGATAGCATTTGGGGTGGGAGGTCATGGGTAAGAAGAAAAAACAGAGGGGAGGGTTAGGGTGGGGTGGATGGGCCATTCGAAGTCATATGGAGAGAGGGAGAGTAGAGGGCGAGAGAAAAAATAGATGGAGAGGGTGGGGGTGGGGGTGATTTGTTGGATAGGCCCCTCTCTTATTAAAATATTTTTTTTTCTCATTTTAGATTTCATATTAATTTATTTGTATATTTAATTATTTTAACATATAATATGACCATTTTGCCCTCATATTTAACGGTAAATTAGATGAAATGTTACAGATTTAGACGGTCGAGGGGAAATTAGCGAAAAAAAGAAGTTCATATATCCTTAATTTTCTGAAAAATAAAGGATAGAAGGTCAATTGAAACCAAGGTACAAGTTTAAGGGCAAATCACTAGTATACCCTATTATTATATACCATAGAAGATTTTATAAGCATTGGGTATTTCTAATCTTGGCATCAAGTATGTAAAACCTTATGCAAAATTCAAATAATGAATTAATCACCTTATATGACTTTCAAATATGAATAACCCCAACCCACCAATGATCAGGGGAAGAGAAACCCAGATAAAACAACATCTTTACAACTCCGAAATAGAAATGACGAATTACAAAGAATATATAAATATGGTCATCCCAAGCTTTCTTCCTATTTCACCTGTCACTTGATGAGATGAGAGACACAACAACATAATAAGACCCAGATTGATTATCTTAGGGACAAATCCACTGTGCTGATGGGGCAAAAGTGGACTTGCTCTCCTTACATGGTTCTGTCCTCGGCCAGCCGGAGAAAGGAATTTAGCGATGGCCGGCACGAGTTTGGAGGCCAAGCCCAGCAGCACTACCAGCAAAAGCAACAAGCATAAGATTAGATAGATCACAAGGCGGCGGGAAGGGGAGTGTGGAAAAATCAGAAGCCACAAGAGTGAAGCAACTGAGATTGAACCAAACAGCATCATGGTGACGTGGCACCATTTATATATGTATGCATGACTCTGATCATGTTCATCACTAATAACACTAAGCTTCATAAGCAGTAGCAGTAGCCCTAATAAGCTGAAGGCCAAGCAATATCCGAGGACGCTGGACATAACAACCATCATGATGATCCGGTGCGTTTTGAACAGATCTTCTTGTCCATACCGCATCTGCACCAACGTCAGGATCGTCGGAATGGTGAAGGCAAGAATAGTGTTGTTTTTGCCATGGTGACGCTTAGATGTCGTTGAAGCTTCAAGCAATGTTGGTGGTCTTGCTGCAAAGTTGATATAGACGTGCTGATTGTTGATGAAGTGCTGCCTCATGACGAAATTAGAACTGTGAGGATTGATGATCAATTCTGTTTTTGTGTTGCTCAGACAGAAAAGCAAGGCCTCTTTTAGTGATTTGGGTAACCAACAATTCTAATGGTTATATGTAATGTGGAGAAGCAAGGAACAGTGTAACCAACAACTTAACTTTCGTGAGTGTGACTACCGACTAAGTTTCTTCAGCAATTGATGAGCTTTTTCCGGATACAGCAATTGAGCTTTTCCAGATTCAGCAGTTGGCCTTTTTCCGGATACAGACAGCAATTGAGCTTTTCTCATTTGCTTCATTCAATGACTCATTTATCCAAAACACAATTTCCTTTTCTGAGAACCATTAGGTGGGTAGAATGGTATATTTACATACAAAAAAGGGTCAGTTTCTAAATAAAATAATTAGTCATTTTAATTTGCATAAAATTTTGTTTCCGTTAGGGTAAGAAAGAAACCGTGTAGATATACAAAACCAGGTCCCTAGCTTTAGCCTTGTAATTGAACTCCGTGGTATCCGTATATGTTGAACACAAGAAATTACATGACAAGGAAAGGGCCCAATTCTAATGGTTATATGTAATGTGTAACCAACAATTTCCGTGAGTGTGACTACCGACTAAGTTTCTTTATCCGGCTTTTTCCGGACCAACGACTTATATACAGACTAACTTGGTCCTTCCTGGAATTTGCCCGGTTTTTTTGGTCGTCCAAGTTCCCCCTGTTTTTTTTTTGGTCAACGTCCAAGTTCCCCCTTCTGTGTAAATAACAATAATAAACCTAAACCGGTCATTAATTAATTGGATTGGTTCAGAATATTTACTGAAAAAACGACGGTACATTCGAACGAATATATATATATATATTATATTTTTGTATACCAATTACATGATTGTTTTGTGAAAGAAGAGTTATATACAATGGTTGTATGTAATAATTTATTTATCCTTCTCATTGTATATCCAAATTGTTTTGACTCTACTGCGTGGTAAAAAAAGAAAACATTTGTGACTCAAGCATCTCTGCTACATGATCAAGCTACCATCAGCAGCATAATAATATTTGTTGTTGGGGTTAGGTCTAAATGAATCTAGCTCAAATTTAGTTTCACTTACGAGTGTTCTGTCACTTACTATGTTCGAAGTTTCATTTTATATGTCTATGTCATGGTATGAGTTATCTAATGTTAATGAAACGGTGACGTCCAAGGGCTACAAATATATGATTTACATATGAAATAATCATGTGGCTAGCCTAATATAAAAGTCCACATGAACTGCTCTTGAAGCAGTTGTTTCAACTAATGAAGAACTTTCAAAGCTTCTTTGCTCAAGGAACAGAGAGAGACCACTCTATACCTCGAGCAAATAAAGCCTTCTTTTCAACCGTTTGTGTTGTTCTACTGTTTGTGTTGTTCTGACTGTTTGTGTTGTTCTCAGACAGAATATATATATATATATATGAAGTGGGTCCCATGCTTATGAAATGTGGAAAATCATAAGTGGGTCCTATGCTTATGAAATGTGGAAAAGTTTATGAAAAGTTTATGAAATGTGGAAAAGTGGGTCTCATAAATATATGTATATGAAATGCGTCCCATAAATATATGCATATGAAATGTGGAGAAGTGGGTCCCATGAATATATGGATATGATATGTGGAGAAGTGTATCATATGGTTACTTTTCAAAAGACAGGAAAGTCTTCATTCGTTGAATTGTCGAAGTTGTCAAACTAAAACCTCAGAGTTACCTTTCTTTACTGATGTTTTCAACTTCTATGAAAGGGGAAACCAGTTAGGAGTTACCGCTTTGTTGGAGATCCTCCTGCCAATTTGTGGGAATAATGTTTTACTAAGTGTCTAAGTTGTATAGGGGGTGTGAAAAATGGTGGAAAGGACCCTTAGTCATTGCATTTATGGTAAAGGATTCCTCATAGTACCTCTGTTACCTTCATATGTGAGCCTTTACCTGCAATCCCACAAAGAGTACCTGAAATAAAAACAAAAACAAAAACACTAATTAGACAAGAAAAGAAAACAAAAGAAAAATAAGTGATTAGAAATAACAATTCCCGGCGACACGGCGCCAAAAATTTGATAGGATTAAATGCACACCACAAAGTAGCACACAAATATCCTACTGATTTTCCTTATTTACACTAAGATTTGTCAATTGTAGCATATGAAAATAAGGGTCTTTCCCGCAGAAGATTGTTTTATCTAACTACTTAAAATGTCACAAAGACTGGGCTGCTGTCCCTACTGACCAGCCACCGAGGAATAATTATTAAACCTGCTTACACCTATCTAAAGTCTACAAAATTTTATACGCAGATACTAGACACACAGAGCTACACGCACACAAATTTTTGGGATTTTTAGAGTTGATTTGCTATATAAATTAAATCGGACAACAACATGACAGAAATGGATTTTGAATTATAAAAACAGATTGTATTTCACAATTAAGAAAATGAGTTAGGGGAAGTGCTATCCACCACCAAATAATCATGCACATGTTATGTTTCATTCAAATTCCTTTTATTTCCTGATGAAGATGCTCAAATTGAAGTGCTATCCACCACCAAATAATCATGCAACATGTTATGTTTCATTCAAATTCCTTTCATTTCCGGATGAAGATGCTCAAATTGGCTCAATGTTAGAACTCAACCTATTACTCTTTCTTAAGTAGTATGTTAAGAGAATGACGTTTTCAACTTAACTTAGTCCCTAGCATGCAATCTAGATTGGCGTGTTCATAGATTTAACAAGTAGAAATCATTAAGAACGAAAAGAGTTTGAGTCATCACAAGGCATCGTAAGTACTGGCGTTGTCTTACTTATCCTAGAAACTGATTCACATGTTAATCGCAATTAACAAGTATTACTCTAGAACATATGTAGGTCCTCATTCGACAAGGGCAGGCACACACATATTCATAGCATTAGAATCCTAAATATGCTTACTAAGTATGCATCCGTAGAAAACACATAAAGAATTCATCAATGAGACAAGTAGTGAAGCAATTTTCATCCTTTCATAAAAGAAATTGAAACGAAATGTCATAACACGTTTGCCAACTACAATATGTTCTATTCATTTGCGTATGACATGGTCATATTCCTTTCATAACCTTGAATTTTTTATCAGCATGACACAATTGCTTGTAATATTCTTATACTTTGAAACTCAGCTTTTTTAGAAGTATACTTTGAAGCTGAGCTGGTACAATTCCTATTTTAAATTCTTAGATGTCGAGAAACCGGCCTGCAGTATGTACTATGATGCCATTTTCAGGCCTCAGATCCTATATTTCGTTTTCAATTAAAGACTTTGCTAGTTTAGTACAAACTGTTAAGACCTTTTCAGAAAATTTGATCATGACTGCACTGGGAATGGGAATCCTCTGCACTGATTAACAGTATTTATAACTACACTTCTTCAGAAATATAAAATTCTTCTCAACAAGATTCTAAATTTGAACCGTTCCTGAAATAATCATTAGTTCATTGGAATACTCTTGGGTCAGTGTCGTTTTTTACCGAGAATTGTCATTTTTGTAAAATGTTAAATTCAGCATCTGCATTTGGCCAATTTCTCAAAATACTTGTATCATATGGTTACTTTTCAAAAGACAGGAAAGTACTTCATTCGTTGAATTGTCGAAGTTGTCAAACTAAAACCTCAGAGTTACCTTTCTTTACTGATGTTTTCAACTTCTATGAAAGGGGAAACCAGTTAGGAGTTACCGCTTTGTTGGAGATCCTCCTGCCAATTTGTGGGAATAATGTTTTGCTAAGTGTCTAAGTTGTATAGGGGGTGTGAAAAATGGTGGAAAGGACCCTTAGTCGTTGCATTTATGGCAAAGGATTCCTCATAGTACCTCTGTTACCTTCATATGTGAGCCTTTACCTGCAGTCCCAACTTTTTGTGTGCATGAATTTTTGAAACAGGGCAAAACATTCCATATTGAAATTCATGTGGGCACACTTAATATCATTTTGAAGTTCAAACTCAGAGCGGTATACTGTACTGTGATGCATTACTTTGAAGATGTCAAAGAAAATGAAAAGTTAGTTGCCATCAGTAGGCAGCACAAATGTTCTGATGTCTTCAGTTATTTTGAATCTTCCATAAACCTAGCAGATATTTGGTTGAACTTCATTCTGGAAAATTATCCGGGATATGTTCTTCTTTGTGCAATTTGTTTCCTGGAAAGCTTCACAGATACTGAGAGTAAATGTTGTCCTTAGTTGGTTGAGACTTTTCATTCCAATGAATATATGTATACACCGGCTACCTTTTGGTTCTTTTTGGAAGCACCTAATCATTGCGTCCATGCCCTTTCAGGATCCACTGCGCCCATTGGTGTTAGGTGGTGACCACTCAATTTCTTATCCTGTTGTAAGAGCTGTCTCTGAGAAGCTTGGGGGACCTGTGGATATTCTTCATCTGGATGCCCATCCTGATATCTATGACGCCTTTGAAGGTAATATATATTCACATGCGTCTTCTTTTGCTCGAATTATGGAAGGTGGTTATGCTCGGCGTCTTTTGCAGGTGAATTATTGTTTGTAAATACACCGTATGTATATTCTTCATGGCTTGCTTTCCCACTTAATTAGGAAATAAGTATTAGTCAAATTACAAATTGATGAAATGGGATTATTCACAAGCTTGTTTATCTTTTTAGTTTCACATAACCCGGCTATCTATATGTATCATTGTTGATTTTCTGTAAAGCATATCATAGGATTTTGCCATCACTTGTGGAAAATTTTGTAAATATTCTCAGCTGATATTTGCACTTTTATCCCTACATTCAAAGATTATAATCTTTGGTGCACAAGGAAGAGTGGCTCATGGACAATATTCAAATGAACGTAGCCCCTTCTTAATGGATAACAATTGTATATACCATAGAAGATTTTATAAGCATTTGATATTTCTAATCTTGGCATCAAGTATGTAAAACCTTATGCAAAATGCAAATAATGGATTAATCACCCTATGTGACTTTCAAATGTACTTGTTGCATCTGTGATTAAGTATAAACTTCCACTTGAGCTTTGCCGTTAGCAAAAGTAGCATTTTTAATGTTGTCCTCTGCCTAAAATATAGATGAAATCTTAGTTAATACGAATGTGCTGTCACTTACTGTAACAAGTTTCATTCGACATGTCTTTGTCATACTATGACCTATGCTAATTCTTTTTCTTCTCCTCTATATCTATTCATTGTTAAACCTATGACATGTTTACTAATCAGGAATTGGAATTCTCATTAGGAATTGAATTCTACCTATAGAGAATTCCTGCGTTTACTTCACATAAGGAATTGAAAAAGTAAGCGGGGCCCACACAAAATTAGGAATTGAATTCCTGATTTTGGAGGAATTCAATTACTGAATGGGAGGTGGTATTCTAATTCCTGGAGAATTCACCCATTAGGAATTCATCTTTTTTACCCATTATATCCTCACACAATTTTCAAAATTCCAAATACGCCATCTACTTTAACCAAAAAATGAGGACATTTTAGTAATTAGTACCACTTATACCCCAATTCCTTATGGTTTAGTAAACAACTTCAATAGGAATTCGGAATCTAACTCCCCTCAATCCATATGGTTTAGTAAACAACTTCATTAGGAATCCGGAATCTAATTCTCCTCAATCCAACTCCTCCTCAATTCAATTCATCCTCAATTCAATTCCCCCTAATTCAATTCCGGATTAGTAAACATGCCACTAATGTAGTTCTCATATGCTCTTGCGCTCTAATTAAGTTGAATGTCCTGTTTTAGTTGTTGTCCAGCATTTCAGTCAACCTGATGAAGTTTGTTGCTGAACTTTCAGGTTGGTATTAGATCAATCAACATAGAAGGGCGTGAACAAGGAAAACGATTTGGTGTTGAGCAATATGAAATGCGAACCTTTTCAAGAGACCGTCACTTTTTGGAAAACCTGGTCTTTCTCTCTCTCTCTTCTTCTCTCTGTTTCTCTCCCTCCCTCTGTCCCTGCCCCATGTGTATCTTTCTTTTTATATGTCTGCATGTACTTATGAGAGTATTGAGAATAACGGTTAAGAAATTTTTCTTGGGCAGAAATTAGGGGAAGGTGTGAAGGGTGTGTACATCTCGATAGATGTAGATTGCCTTGATCCTGCATTTGCTCCTGGAGTGTCACACATTGAGCCAGGGGGTCTCTCCTTCCGTGATGTTCTCAACATACTCCACAGCCTTCAAGGCGACATTGTTGCTGCAGATGTCGTTGAATTCAATCCCCAGCGTGACACTGTTGATGGGATGACTGCAATGGTAGCTGCTAAGCTGGTGAGAGAGTTGGCTGCAAAGATATCAAAATGATAAAATTATCAGGTGCCTTCCTTTGGTATACCTGGAGACTAGACCTTCCAGCATAACACAGATTTTTGCAGTTTCATTATCTGAAAGTGTTAAACATAGCTGCAGTATGTAACTGAGAATTCATTTCCAGCATGATATTTCAGTGGGGGCATCGTTGTGCTTAATCTGATACCAAATATGATGTATTAATTTGTTTAATGAGAATAACTTGCAGAACTTGATTACATTCAACAAGCAGTTAGAAGTTAATTGGTAGATCCCATGTGTTATTTGCTAATTTCGGTTTTCAGTATTTTTGGTTTATTTGCGGTACATTTTCAGTAGTACTAATTGTAAATTAATATAAATTACAATTTATCTAAAAAAACTTTATCAAATCTCAAATTCTAGTATAATAGGACATGTTTACTTACATATGTGAACCAAAAAATTCTTCAAGATCGAAAAAGTAAATTCTAGACTTTCCCCCCCCAAAAAAAAAAAACAGAGGGCATGAAATTCAAAACTAAAAGAAATCCTCAATCACCACACAGTTCAGACTTCAGCCTTCATTGAATCATTAAGAAAAAATGGGTCATGATAGAGAGACTAACTTGGGATACCAACTTGTGTACCAACTCTCTAATAGAGGTGGAGCCCACCAATACAATGGATCCCATGCTCTATTAGAGAGTTGGTACACAAGTTGGTATCCCAAGTTGATCTCCCTAGCATTTTCCAGAAAAAAATTGGTAAAACGATAAAGTGTTTGTTGTTCGGAAGTTTCTTTTTTAGAGTTCAAACATGTAATTTCTTAATTTTATTCAACTTGGTTAATTACTATGAATTTAATGAATAAGTGGGCCTAACATAATATTTATGTATAATTTTGTTTTTGCTTGCTTGTGCTCAGAGCCTACCCAGATTATTTATATATATTTCTTTTTATTGTGAACTCTTTATTAAGATAATATTTTCATAGGACATATTATCATTAGAAATGGTAATATATACTCGGTGATTTGCCCAATGAGATTAGGAAACTATATACACATATGTAGCGGGAGGCTTTTGTGAACACTAGCTACTGTGATTTAGGGTTTCCAAATTTTGCTATAATCTTTTTTCTTTCAGACAAGATGAAGTATGTTCGCGATCAGGCTTTCAAGGAACATTGATGCGAGCGAGAGCCTCTTGTTGACGACTATGGTGGCCTCGCTTGCCCTCCGCTGGATGACCTTGAAGCTGTCTTCATCCTTGAAACCACGATTGATCCCTCCAAGTTCTTCGACGACGTCAAACTTGATGAGCACGACTTGGCTATTCTCGAGAAGCCCAAGAAACCATCCCACGGCGGCAAAGGCAAGGATTTGGAGACCATCCGCTTGATGCTAAATGCACTGCCTTCATCTTCTTGCCAACAAAACCCTAAGGCTCCCACAAAATCTAATCATCATCATCATTAGCAAGATTGGGATGATGAAGACAAGTTGGAGTGTAGTAAGCGAAAACTTCACCAAGGCTATCAAGAGTATCAAAACGAGGTCGGGTTTTGAACAAGAACAAGTTGTTGACCAGTTCGAGGAGGTGCCGAGCCTACTTCTAAACGTTTTTTATTGTCTAGTTTATTCAATTCATTCATTAATTGTGATCAAATGTAACACGAGAACTATTATCCAAATTTTCAAATGGCATAAATGTATACCCTAATCAATTTGTGGTATTCAAATCAATTCAACTAGTTTTTGCCTTTAATCATCATCATGGCTTCCCATTTTGGGGCATATTATCTAAATTGTTTTTATGCCCATATTAATGCTTACACTAATCACCAAGCCTAAATAAACAAACAACCCACTTTGTAATTATTGGACATAATTATGCTTCCTCACAAATCATAAATTTAGTAAGTAAGGCCAAGCCTCCTCTCAAAATTCCCTTTTCCATGATGACCATGTGTATTATCTCAAATGGAATCCACGTGTGGGTTCACCCCCACTTATTCCTCATATACAATATACTACGTGGTCAATTGAACCCAGATCTTTGGTGTGCTCCTAAGTGGTCGTGAGTTCAAATTCCTATGGTGCTGTGTTTGTGCGTTTTTCCCTGCCTAACTTTGACAAAAAAAGAAGAAGAAAGATTGAGTTAAAAGTAGGATAAAGCAACGGGTTATGAGTGTGAAAGCCATGGTTTAACTACTGAAATTTAGGGCTCGTCAATGGGCCGGCCCGATCCGGATTGGGCTTTAAAGAGGAGAGAGAAAATATCGGGTCGGGCCGAAATGGGCCCAACGGGCCGGGCCGAAATGGGCCTACTTCAATCGAAAAAAATCATAAACTTAATCATAAGGGCATTTTAGTCCAAATTTGAGATTAAATTCACTTAATTCCAATATTTTCACATCAAACCAAATTCATAAAACACCCAATAAAGTCACACAACTTAATAAGATTTTCCGCAAAAATAATAAAACCAAGTATTATTTTTGAGGTTATTACATAATTAGACCGTAATATGTTTTAAGAAATAATTTTAAAAAATAATAAGACTACTGGGGCCCCATGGGTTTACCCATGAGCCCATTTACAAGCCCACGGATCATCGGCCATCAGCCAGATCCTCAGCCTTCGGCCTTCAGCATCTGCCTTCAACCTTCGGTATTCTTCCTCTTCCTCTTGGGTCTAACCCTATGTACAATGTATACACACATTATCATAATGAAAACATACTTCTCCGTGGACGTAGCCCATCATTCGGGTGAACCACGTACATTTGTCTTCTGTATGCATGTCCATTTACTTACTGAATGCTCTTACATACTGAGGGTCCTCACCTTCAGCATCCACCTCATCTTTAAGTTGGCCTACTTACTACCTATCTAGTTTTAGCGCTAACAAATAATTGACACAAATTAATGTGCTAATCATCCAATTATAAACTAGGAATGAGTAAAGAAAAGTAAATGAAATGAAACAAATTATATATGTGATTTAAGTGATATAATCCTAATCCTAAACTCTTGTTTATACATAATTATATATGTATGTGGGCCTAATGGGTCGGGCTTTCTTGGGCTTAATTGGGCGGGGTCTATGGGTCGGACTAGGCTTCAGACACCCAAGCCCAAGCCCCAGACACCCAAGCCCAAGCCCAACCCAGCCCAAGATGGGCCGGGCCATCTCAAAGCCCATAACGGGCCAGGCCGGGCTTTTTTTTTAATGGGCCGGGCAGGCCCCCATCAGCCCATGAGCCCGCGGGCCAAATGATGAGGCCTACTAAAATTTGATTGGATATAAAATAATGGGTATTAAGCTACTAACAATATCTAAAATTGAATTAATTTAATGATGGTTATCAAAGAGTTATTTTTAGGTCGCTAATTAAATGAGACTCATTAGTTGATATTATAAAATACAAGTAGTAACACTCAAGTGAAGTAAGACGTGCATTGTCAATAAGGGTTGGTTCAATTGGTAAGATCCCTGCACTGTGTGTAGTCTCACCAATGTTTGAGTCTCACTGCCAGCAATACTCGTTGATGCATGATCAATAATTTCCTATATAAATCCATATAAATAGCAGCTAGCAGTTGGGTGCCACGCATGAGTCTTTTCCATCTTAAGGTTGTGGGTTTATCTAGCTCTGGTGGTGAGAGTAGCCAATATTCCTTAAATTTTATTTTTTAAAATTTTAAAAAAAAACAAGGCATTGATTTCGAAAAAGAAAAAAAGAAGACGCGCATTGATTTTTCATGTGGTTGGCTTGACAAAAAAGAAACCTGGCACAACAAAAAACTAAGAAAAAGAACAATCAGGAAAAGAGGAAAAAAATAGCATTCTAATTTTTTTGGTATGGAAAGAACTTAATTCGAGTTCCGATGCTACAACTTCTCCTATTATAAAGCAAAATGAAACACACGAACACACAAGTGGGATATTTGGTCCAAGTTAAATCAAGTGAGTACGTTTGAGCCATTTTTTCCACTTGATTTTCTCTCTGCTTTGATCATTTTCAAGTTTTTCTCACTTCTTCACAGCCTCTCTGTTTCTCTGATTTCTCGAAATGAATATTAGTACATGGGTTTTTGTGACAGCAATGCCAATCATTGGAAGCAGAGGGTTTCATTTCTTGCATAAACTAAATGCTGAAAATTTGCCCCGGGCCTTAGAAAACCCAGGACCGGCTCTGTTGGTAAGAGACGGGACTAACTTAAATGAGACTGTATAGTCCAATAGTGAAAAAAATGCGTCACTCGCTCATCTAATACAGTGAGCCTAAAAAGTGGTTTGCTAAATAGCACACTCGCTAAATAGAACACGTGAGTCCGACTCATCTCTTTAAAAAATATCAGAATTTTATTTGTTTTCTTTTAATTATTGTTTTAGATCTTTGAATGGTTTTTTTTTTTTGCAGCATTTATTTTTTTAAGATAAAAATCCTTAAAATATTACAATAATTATTTTGATATTGCATTTAGAAAATCAAACTATAGTAATTTACAAATGTTTGATATTTTTTTTGATATTGAAACAAGTTTAATAATTCATGATGTGATGCTTTCTTTATCGCAAGCAATTTTTACCTTGTTAAATTATATTTTTCAATTTGAAGTCAAAAGTCAAATGTACAAAAATTATACATACATATATATAATTTTTTTAATTATTGTTTTACTTGGTCCCTGAAAAACCTAGAATTATATAGAGTGAGCTTAGCGCCTTTAACAATGTTTCGACCAACTAAGATTTAATCTTGAGAAGCCAAAAAACAAATATCATAATTTTATTCTCCATTAAAAAAAACAGAATTTTATTTGTTTTCTTTTTATTATTGTTTTAAACCTTTTTTTTTGTTGCCAGATATTGTTATAAATCTTTGAATTGAGTTTCTTTGTAGCATTATTTATCTTTTAGGTCAAAAACCCCAATTAAATTTAAATATTATAAGAATTATTTTTCAGTCCGACACAGCACCAAACATAGGTCTTCACTATTTTTACAATCCAGCTTCTTAGTTCGACGCAGCACCAAACGTAGGTAAGTACTTAATCCAGTTTAGGTAAATCCGAGTTA